TTGTAGGTAACAGCTTGCTTTTCTCTTGCTGCCTTTAAGATTCTCTTCGTTCTGAATTTTTAGCATTTTATGATGTGTCTGGGCATGGGCCTCTTTGGGTTCTTCTTGCTTGGGACTCTCTGTGCCTCCTGAACTTGTGTGACTTTTTCCTTCACCAGGTTAGGGAAGTTTTCTGCCATTATTTCTTCAGGCAGGTTCTCTAACCCTTGCTTACTTTCAGCCTCTTCTGGCATTCCTGTGATGCAAATATTGTTACATTTCATGCTGTCCCACAGCTCTCTTAGACTTTCCTCCTGTTTTTTGTTTTTTCTTTTTGGATCTCTGAGTGATTTTTTTACCCTGTCTTCANGGAAGTTTTCTGCCATTATTTCTTCAGGCAGGTTCTCTAACCCTTGCTTACTCTTCTGGCATTCCTGTGATGCAAATATTGTTACATTTCATGCTGTCCCACAGCTCTCTTAGACTTTCCTCCTGTTTTTTGTTTTTCTTTTTGGATCTCTGAGTGATTTTTTTACCCTGTCTTCTAATTCACTAATCTGATACTCAGCTTCCTCTAATCTGCTATTTTTTCCTTCCAGTGTTAGTTCTATCATGTCATTCTTAATTTCATTCATAGTTTCCTTTTTTTTCTCATGTTGTCGAGTATCCTTATGATCAGTATTCTGAACTCTATGTCTGATAGATTGCTTATCTCCATTTCACTTAGCTCTTCTTCTGGGGAATTCTTTTGTTCTTTCATATGGGGCTTGTTTTTTTGTCTCCCCATTTTGGCTGCCTGTTTGGCTACCTATGTATTAGGTAGATCTTCTAGGACTCTCAGTCTTTTGGACAGTCTCTGGTGCAGGCCAATGTCAAACACTGTTTGTGACTGCCCTTGAATACCCTGTTTGAAGTGTTCTGCACTCCACAGCTTGTGGTTCCCTCTGCTGAGGCTGGGTGTGTTTGAACAGGACCAAAATATGCACCAGGGTCTGCTTTTCCAATACCTGGGTCCAGAAGCAAATGAGGCAAAGACTCAAAGCACCCACAGGTTGATGGTTATCTGTCTCTTATTGAGCCTCAGGGTGTAGGAACTCCATGGGGGGGTGAGAGGTTTTCCAACAGGGTGGGGCAATGCCCCCCCGCCGGCAAAAGCTGCTTGGAAGATAAATGTCTGCCTGAGAAAGATGTCCTTTGCAGTATGGGGGAATGACTCAGTACAGGGATCCAGATGGCCGCCCTCTGATCTGTATTCCCCTAGCCAGCACCCCTGGATTCTCCTCACACAGCTCTAGTCCATTCTGCCCTCCCTCCACCAGAGCCCAAGGTAAGTGGCTGCACATATGTGAAAAACTTTGTTCATTGGCCCTTTAAGAGGGTGCCTACATTTCCAGCCATCTCTCCCTGGCAGACAAAACCCTGCTGCTTTTCACGNCCTTTAAGAGGGTGCCTGCATTTCCAGCCATCTCTCCCTGGCAGACAAAACCCTGCTGCTTTTCACAGCCAGACGTTATGTGGACACCTTTCTCACTTCTGGTGCTCTGGGTTGGGGAGCCCAGTTTGGGGTTTAGACCCCAGAGTTCTCAGCTGAGCTATCCCTCTGAACCTTCAGCTGCTGCCTATGGGAGCCCAGCCAGCCCTCTCACACCTCCACTCTTCCTACAAGTCTCTGTGAGGTCTCCGCTTTACCTCCTTAGTAATGAGGGTGCTCTCCAGCTTGTCTTCAGTTACAGCTGATTATTCAGGATTTTTTNCTTAGTAATGAGGGTGCTCTCCAGCTTGTCTTCAGTTACAGCTGATTATTCAGGACTTATATTTCTGTTGTATTCCAGTTTGATCCTATGAGAGTGTCAGTGTAGCTCCACTCAATCTGCCACCGTCTTGAAATCCCCCCAAGCCTTAAACATTTTTGATGAAATAATTCATTTTAGGTATCTACCCTAAGGAATTCATCAGTAACTCCGACTGAAATTTTTGAACACTCATTATAGGATTATTTAATATGTGAAAAAATTACTCACCAAATATATCAGATGGACTTGGTTATACAAATTATAGTGGATCATACAAGAGAAAAAGATGTGGCTATTAAAATATATACTGATAATTTTTTTATTTTTATTTTTATTGAGTTTATTGGGGCAACATTGGTTAATAAAATTATATAGGTTTCAGGTGTACAGTTCTATAATATATCATCCATATAATGTATTGTGTGTTCACCGCCCCAAGTCAAGTGTCCTTCCATCACAATTTATTTCCCCTTTACCTTCTTCTACCTTCCCCCACCCCCTTTTCTTTCTGGCAGTCACCATACCATTCTCTGTCTATGAGTTTTTAGGTTGTGGTTTTTTTTTGCTTACGCCCTTCACCTTTTTTACCCTGCCCTCCAATCCCCTCCCCTCCGACAGCTATCAGTCTGTTCTTTTTATCTATGAGTCTGTTTCTATTTTGTTTGTTAGTTTATTTTGTTCATTAGATTGCACATATAAGTAAAATCATAGGGTATCTGTCTTTCACTGTCTGACTTATTTCACTCAGCAGGGAAGAAATATTTCTTACAGTCTTGTGAAAGAGGTATTAAGTAAACAATATATTACTATAAATTGATAAATCTTGCAAAGGATTGACATTGCACTCTGAGAAAGGCATGGGGTGGGATGAGGGTGATGTGTTTAGTGTTGAGTTTCAGGGAAAGCCTGTGAAGTCACATTTAAACTGAGGTCCAAATCATTAATAGGCATTAAACAGGTTACTGTTTAGGGGAAGAATATTCCAGGCAGACAGATGTGCAAGGAAAGGCCTGAAACTTGGAGGAAGCAGTGAGGCTAGAATAGAGGGAGCACCTGGGAAAAACAGAATGGGAAGAGGTGGTGAGGAGGGCCTGGCTCATTTGTAGCATTGAAGCATTGGTAAAAAGTGTGGGTTCATGCGACATTCAGTGGGAAGCCAGTGGACC